AGATAGATAGATAGATAGATAGATAGATAGATAGATAGATAGATAGACAGGCAGACAGACAGACAGACAGACAGACAGACAGACAGACAGACAGACAGACAGACAGACAGATAAATGCTTTGGCATTCTGAAAGGCATAGCTGAAGCTCTAGATTCATTTCCATTTCAGTGGGAGGATTATAGCAATGTATAAGGCTTATTCTCACAGGAATAAATAGACAATTATCATAATTAATCATTATGGGATGTGCAGTTAATAAACTCCAGGAGAAGTACTTTTAGTTTCCAGCAAGCTAAACTGCGGAAAAATAAAAACCATCTCTATGCCTGGACCTCACTGATGCTTGAAGATATCTGGAATTTGTTCAAAACATTGTAAGCATTTCCTAACATTCTGGGGATATTTTTGTAGACACTAAAGCTGTGTTAAAATCTGCCTTTGCAATTGCTTAGAAATGTTCTCCCAGTGCAAAAGAGCTTTCACTTTTCTACCTTATTCTCAGAAGGATGAAGGAATTTTTTTTCTAATTTATTTTGATAATGTATTTAATCTGATTTTATTATTAAGGTAGTAGAAAGTGCTGTTGTTTTTGCTGCTTTCCAACACAGAGGCTTTCTTCATTTTTATGTCTCCTTACTTGCCTTTGCTTCCTTCCAAGAAAACAACTTCCTTTGCAATGCCTTGTATCTGGATTTAATCAAAGCAGGGAAAGTCAGATAGGTTTCCAATGCATAAATAGTTATTTAAGATTCACCAATTAGAAAAACATAACTTTAATAAAGTAATATTTCTTTAGATTCTACTCCGATGAAGCCACCTGGACTATTGACAGACAATTCTTGTGGGGACCTGGACTACTTATTACTCCAGTCTTAGATCCGGTACATTTAATTTTTTTAAAAGTTGGAATATACATAAGTGTTGTTTTGCAGTGAGTACATGCTAAGCCTGCATTACAATCTCTGTTAAATGATGAATAGAAGAGTAGAAGTAATAAAATAATTTAAATAATTGAGTGAAAGAGATGAGCATGTCCTTTTTCATCACAGCTCCTTCCTATCTCCTTTTGTGTTAGACCTGCCCCAGTCCAATCCCTTAGGAAAGAAAGACTCTCATTCCATTTGGTTGAAGTGATGGATTTTTTTTAATGAAAACATGCTGGGTACAGTAATGTCAGATTAGAAGTAAATTTCCTGTGCTAAAAAGATATAGAAAGTTTCCCCTCATCCCAATCCTCCCTTTATGGTCAGTTTGTGTTCAGCAAATGAAGATTGCCTAGGGGTTTTGAGAGTGCTGAGATGTTTGGGGTAATCCATATTTCTTTTTTAGGGTGCATGGCCTTGACGACTGGCACAAACTGGTTCTGAACTTCTCTGTTCTTTGTCAGGCTCTCATTTTCCCTCTCCCTATTTCTCATCACATACTGATACAGGTTTATTGCTCATTTGTTCATCCACCCATGCCAGTAAGGCACCAAGCTGAAGAAAGTAGAAAGTTTGCCCTTTGCTTAACTAAAGGAAATTTTGCAAATTATTATAAAGGAAGCCTTTCTTTCTTTCTTTCTTTCTTTCTTTCTTTCTTTCTTTCTTTCTTTCTTTCTTTCTTTCTTTCTTTCTTTCTTTCTTTCTTTCTTTCTTTCTTTCTTTCTTTCTTTCTT